CCCGTTGGCGGCGCTCCTCCTCTAAGGTGCTTTGAAGCGCCGAAATCTGCTTTGCCGCCTCCAATTGCGCCTCCTCGCACTCTTTAACAAGTTGCTCGCGGCGCATGGTCACGGTGTCAAGGTTGTCCTTCATGGAGGACAAGGACGCCCGGGTCTCGCGGCACTCCTCAAGCGCCAGGTCTGTCTTCCGGGCGCCTGCCTCGGCCAGAAGGAGCATCTGCAAAACGCCCAAGTGAAAAATGTGAAAAAGTGCAAGACAAATGAAAAAGTGCAAGACAAATGAAGGCGCCTAGGAGGGCATACCTTGGCTCCCATTCGGGCGACTTCAGCCCATGGATGATCCTCCGAGATCGAGGAGGGCACCTGCAGAAGTTTCGACGCCGAAAGAGCCAGGCCCATTGCGCATCCACGCTCCACTGCTGCTCGTGGAGAACAAGACAAGGCCACCCGCCCTAAGTCGGTGCGCCTGGGCTGAAGCATGGGGGGCCTTCCATCGGGCCCCAATAGGCGCCCTTCCACAATTGCATATTGTTGGGGCTGGGCATCGCCTCGACTTGCGGCGCCTCCCTCTCCTTGGTCGGCTCTAAGCCGTTTTGCCGGTGGAGTCAGTTGGGCGCCTCCTCTCTTCCCACGAGTGATCAAGGGCACTTCATCCTCTTGATCATCCACGTCCTCGACTATGACGCGGCCTTCCAAGCCATCTGCGCCCAAGGGTGTGGACGCCTCGCTCGATGCCCCAGTAGTCTTTTCTCCGGGCGCCTTTCCCTTCCCTTTCTCCATAGGCGCCACCAGCGGTTGTGGAGTGGAGACTCAGGCGGGGGAAGACTCCCCAAGGTTGGACCCTCCTTGTTGAGGCTCCTCCAGAGTCATTCTCTCATAACGACTCTTAATCAAGTCAGCAATGCGCCCAAATCTCGTACCTGCAAACAAATCCAAGGGATTAGCTAAGGCGCCCAAAAGAGAATGCAAAAGGCATAAACGGCACTCAACACACCATCTGCATAAAATTCTTCTAAAATAGGCGCCCGTGCATCAGTGGGGCGCAAATTTACAGGAGAGGCGCTTATAAGGGCGGCCCCATCTCGCTCTTCTCGGCTTAGAACAACGGGGGCGTTGAAGCGGGCCTCCGTACCAAGCTCCCAGTCAGTCCTGAATGCGCCTCCACTTTCAAAGAAGTAATCCCTATGCGCCTTCAGAAAGAAGAACCCGTTGAACCATGTGCGCCCCAATTTAGGGCACTTCGTCACGAAATGGGCGCGCAATTTCTTCCGCCGCTTCAAGGACAGACAGTTGTCCCGGGAAATCACAGATAAAAAGTGGCGAAATAAGTTGAACGTGGGGCGCACATGATGAATTCGGCACTTCAGCTTGAAGAGCACAACAATCAGTATCACGGACGGAGATAGGCGCCCGATTGTGCATTCGCAGTACTCCAGAATGCCCTCCAAAATGGGATCAATGGGAAACCGGAGCCCGAACCTGAAATACTCCTGATATATGCCCAACCAATGGGGCCCGCACAACCCTACCCTGGCCATGGGAGATGGAGGCGCATACGTCCAAGTGCGCGGGAGCCCGAGCCCATCGATCAAACTTCTCATCCACGACGCCGAGATGGTGGAATTATGCTCAGGCCCTGCCACATTGGTCGGCAAACACGTTGTCTCCCACGGCGCATACTCCGGTGGCCAGGTGCCTTCCCAAGTAGTTATCTTGTACGACCCATCTTCCGGCACATCGTAGTTCGATGAAGGCGTCGGTATGGGTGACAATGCGGGCGCCTCCACTAAAACAAGTCAAGTAGGCGCACAACCGTTGGAGCAGTAAGAGGCGCCTCCATCGGAACAATACACTAGCATTCGCAAAAAAAAAAAAAAAAAAAAAAAGACGAAAGGAGAGAGGGGCTTACCGGTTTTGGAGGGGCCGTCTGGCTTCTGAGAAGAGCCCGCGGCGGCGGCGGCAGCGTCGGATGGGAGAGACATCGCGGCGAGAACAATTGCACACTAAAAAAGAAAAGGAGAGGCAACGCAGAGAGAGAAGCTAGAGTGAGAAGGCAAATTGGGGGCGAATGAAGAACCATGCTGGGAATCAACTCACATTTAAAGAAAACGGAGCGCCTCGAATATCGTGCCGACTGCCACGTGGTTAATTCACAACCGCGCCGTTGGGAATCCCATACCGACGGTTGTGAAGGGGGGCAGGAGAGGCGGCTGGATCAGAAGGCGCCTTCGACAAATCGAGGAGAAGCGCCGGGAGCAGAAGGCGCCGGGAACAGAAGGCGCCGGGCAATCAGAGCGGGCACGGGGGTAGTAGGCGACTATAGCGCGAGGCGCCGGTCAGCAGGCGAATCAAGGCGCCTTTGACATGTGGAGGAAGGAAAGGCGACTAGAGCGGGCATGGGGGTAGCAGGCGAATCGATGCGCCCGAGAAAGAAAGGGCTTCTATTAAAAAGGGCGAATTTTGAGACGCCCCAGAGAAGAGAGAGAGCGCTAACTCAAGGCGCTCGGGTACGATGAGAGGGCGCCGAGTAAGAAACAAAAGTGATGGGTTGAAGGCGCCTGGAGGAAGGAAAGTGAGTTTTATGACCGCATAGGAGCCCGGGAAAAAAGAATAATAACGATGGGGGGCACTTGAGTCGGGGGCACCTATGGCCCGCCAAGGGCGCCTAGGCGTTTTAGGAGGAACGAGGCGCCTGTACTAAAAGAACGACAGTCCCGGCGAATTGGGGGGCAAGCAACGACCGTAATGAAAGTTGGAAGAGGAAGAGTGAATGAAAGCCTAATAGTTAGGCGCTCAAGGGATACAAAACTTGAGCACCTAACTGGGGGGCAATTGTTGGGGGTATACGAATGAGAAGGCCTCGATATGTGGGCGGGGCCCATTAGGAGACATGAAGTCCAAATAGTCCGAGAAGCTGAGTACACTCAAAACTCCGGAGTGGGCCGTGATTGGCGCCCATAGGTTTAGATCGGAATGGCAAGTTGGCCTGAGCACCCGGAATGGTAGTACTTGCGCGTTAGGCGCCTAGGGTGAGTTGTGCGCGTCTAAGGAAGGCGCCCGAAATCACCTTCGGAGGGAGCGCCCGGAACCACTCATTAAATGTTAGGGTGACGTGGGAATCCGTACAGGAAGATCCAGGTAAGCACTGATCGGCTATAAATAGCGAGGTTGGTAAGCATTTACTCAATTTGGCTTCTCTCACTAAAATTGTGCATTGCAAGCACTTCTCTCACTAAGAAAGTTACTGACTTGAGCGTTGGAGGACTAACGGGCCACAAGGCCCACCTCTGTGAGTGCAGGCTTCATCGGGTGGGAGTCAGCTGGTACGGAAGAAAAGGAGGTCGATCGAGTGGGCATCAACAAGTTGATACAAGAATGTTAGTTATGTACCTTATATGACTCTCTTACATACTCCTCCAAACGAAAATCAACCCGCCGAATTGAAGTTTGCACATGTTCATCATATCTTGTGTTTAAATTAACCGTTGCTTTGGGGCCATTGAAATTCGAACACACGATACTTGGTGATCAAACTTACTATGATATCATATTAAAGCCAACTAATGTCAATAACTCGAATTTACGAGGACAACGGATTATCGACAAGAAAACCACTCAACCACTCAAAGAGTCAGAGAATATGGCTCAAGATCAACCTGGTCCTAGCATTTCTGAGACACTACGTACGTAACTAAGCGCGTTAAAAAATAAACATTTAAACCGTCCATTACATCTCCATTAGCTGTCTCGAACTGTTACTGATAAAGAAAGAAGAGAAGAAAAGGAGACGCAACATTGAAGAGAAAGTGCAGTTGGAATCCTGATTGGAGGGTTGCTAATGGTTTACTTAATTATCCAGTAAAAAATCATGGGTGCATGAGAATAAGATGATGGACCAAAGCGTGTGGGTCCAAAAGAATCGGCGATTCTTATTTCCAAATATCAATCACAGGCATGTGATCTGCATAATAGTGTAGTTAGTTGATAATGATATGGCTTTATAGTTTATGTTCATCCATTGAAAGTGAAAACTACCCTCACTAATCAAAACATCTTTCCAAATTTTACTATTGGATTTATAAAAAAAAACACACACACATTTTCGAGTCATTTCTTTAATTTTAAGGAAAACGTAAATGCATTTGACGATTTGTATTTTAATTATGAACCCAGTATTCTGGAGATATGTACATATGAAGGCCAATCCAAGGAGTGCAACAATAAACACTAGATAGACAGAGTTTAATTGAAGGGAATATTATTTGCTCTCAAACTGATTTGGGGGATTCAGGAAGGTAATTCTACAAACAAAATTTTCGTAACTTAGATCTTCATCTCATCGAGCATGCAAACCACACTAATGACTCATCCGATTTACATACACGTAATTGTCATTCACAAGATCCTCACATCAGACCGGACAATTGTTCTGCGTATATCTTGGTAGTCTTTTGCAACAGTCAACTCGATAACCAAAGACATGACTCGCCAACCCTTTAGTTATGACGTTATTTATCTACAACATCTTTATTTGGCCCACTACTAGCACTTATGTGTTATGTCATCAATTTTCTAATTAAATTAATAACGTGCTAATAGTATCTTAATCCCTCCAAATTGGTGAGGATTTCTCATTGACTTGTTTGTTTCCATTTTAGTGGCCCAAAAAGGCAAACCACTGAAAACGAACCCCCTCCGCCCCATCCGGTCCGTCCGTCTCTCCGGCGTCTCCATGTGAAACAGAACCGTCGCCACTCTATGACCCAACCAAACCGAAAAAGAGAAGAGAAAGAAAGGGAAAAGAAATTCCACGGCGAGATCAATTTTATGCTTTGCAATCTGAAGATTCACATCTTTTTGGTTTGGCCAAGAACAAAAGAGATGCAGCTCTAATGGCAGACAAAACTCCATAGATGGTAGGTTACTCCATGGATGACCCAAATAAAGGGCAAGAAAAAAGACTTTGAAGTGATAACAAAATATCTCTCTACTAGGCAAAGTTTCCCTCCATGATTGATCTCCATGGTCATACTCACCATCATTTCACACAACAACAACATCTTTTGCTTTAACATCAACAAACTAAGAAAAGCAGCTAACATCATTTCTAACACCCGATTCTGAGTCAATTCGAATAAAACACGCTCTCAATCCACCGCGAATTGGGTAAAATCAGAGGCTAGACTAGACTCAGTGTACAGATTCTTTCTGTCTAATGTTACAATTGTGGCTAACAATTTGACCATGATCACTCTGGGTTTGGGTTCAATGTGAGAATTTCAATCTTGTGGTACTTCTTGCCAGGGGAAGCAGAGGAGTCGCAGAGCTGAGCAATGCTCCTCTTCACTCCGAAAGGACTACTCGAACTGTTGAAAGATTCCTGGTGGATCAACCTGGCTGCCGCCATCGACGAGGGAGAAGATGATGGCGACAAGGAAGAAGCAATGGTAACGGGCGGGATCTCAACTGCATCAAGCTGCGGCGGAGGATGCTGCCACTGAGGCAGAGGACCCGCCAGCAGAAGCGTCTGCAGCAGCGGCCCTGCCTCCTTCACAGCCTGCAGCAGCTTCCCTTTCTCCGGCAACATCCTGTCCGCCGCCAGTTCCTCCACCACAGAGCCACGGTGGTGGTGGTGGGTTTCCGGTGGGGAGCTCTCCTTCTCCCCTCCAGCTGCCAATTGCTCATTAGGACTAGTAGACGTGCTTGAAAAAACAGGGGCAGTGGCCGCGGCGGTGGAAAGCAGTACAGATGGTGGTGATTGCTCCTCTGCCTCTTTGTGTTCGAACATTAGCCTCAGGCATTGCAGCCGGGCATCGTTCCTCTCTTTGGTGGTGCTGCTCAAGAGCTCTTTGAGACGGAGGATTTCGAGTTCTCGCTTGGCGATCTCTTCTCTTGCTGACAGAAGTGTGGTCTCCAGCTCTGATGTGTACAGAACATACTGTCTGAACTCCTCCATCACCTGCTAATCGAGTCGGTTAGTTAGTTAGTTAGTTAGTTAAATCGCGCTAAACGAACGCGTGGGAAGTTGATTAGTAATTGGATTACCTCGTCCTGGTAGAAGGGTTCCCAGCCGATGGCAGAATGGGGGCTGCAATTTTCCTCCATTTTGGTGTTTAAAAGGTTTCAATATGCTGAAAGATGGGAGCTTTTTGATGGTGAGAAGGGGAGGGAAAGAGGGTTTGCATTGGGGTTTCTAATTATAGGGAGAGTGGTCAGTGGAAGATGAGTTCAGTTGGGTTTTTGAGGGTAGGGTTGCTGTTTATCTAGCAGTTCTTTTTGTTTTTTGTTTTGTTTTGTGATGAGTTTGTTTCTCTTTTCCTACTATGAATGGAAGAAAAAAAAATTTGGCGTGCAGTGTGCTACGGAGTCGTTGGACAAAATGCACAAAAGGCCAAAACTGTTATGCAGCCAGCCAGCCAACGGCGAAAAGAAAAAGGGAAAAACTCAAAAAGGAGTAAAAATGTAAAATCTTTGGGTTTTGGTTGCCGGTAGATTTTTTGGTGGGCATAAGACAGGCCGACGATTGGAAGATGGCCCCATCGAACTGGACTGGACTTCTAATAAATTGGGCTCGGCCCAACATGAAGTGTGGTGTTCCACGGTTCCACATAACTACCAACTGGGGAATATCAAATATCGCTGTTGACTTCTTTCGTCGCGCGTGATAGGGGTGGGCAATTGGTTCGGTAAATCCGAACCGATCCGAAACTCAATTAAACCGAAATAATGCTATTCGGTTTGAAATTCGGAAGGAAAATATGGATATTTCGGAAATTAGGGTTTTTTAAACTATGATAAGAATCTTAATCAATTATACTACATAGATTAGTTGTATCATTTTAAATAAAAAACATACATGAAGCTAAAATTAAAAAATCACAGAACTTTTCAACGGTTAGCTAAGGTTGCTAAATCTTCACTCAGTACTTATTGGTGTTTTGATACTTCGATTTTCATATTTAATTATTTTAATCATACTTTAATACTTAATTTAAATTTCTATTTATCTTATAAATAGACGATAACTTTAAAATCATAGACCAAATATCATTGGTCCAATATTACATATCGAATTGCAATATCGAATGTGTAGAAGCGATGTTGAACTGCTACATTATTATTAGTTTATAGAACTACTATGAGGCAATCATATTCATATCTTTCTGCAAACTATATGGAGACGGGTTCCTTGAACGTTTTTAGTTCGGTTAACCGTTAAGTTTTAAACATCTTCCTAATCTGACAACATGATGGATCCAACAATCATTAGAAGAGGTTGAGTTTAATAGATTGGTTTATTTCATCTTTTTATGTATTAAAATGAAAATTTCTTAGCATAAGACTTAGGATCTCAATAGATCTTTGATCAATCAACATAATATAGAACAACTATTGTTAATGTGAACTTATGACATATTATAAAATTATTGCAAATGAGATCCCTCTTCATTTGATGAGTTTAAGGTAGAACATGATCTGAATGAATAAGAAGTTTTTTTAAAATAAATAATTGTAACTACTCGAACAAAATTATACTATGATATTTTGCTAAATAATACTTGTTTTATTTTATCGACATATATTTTATGAATAATAGAGTGTTTCATTGCAACAAAATATAAAGTAATATAATTTATTTTTCAAAGGTAATTGAATGTCAAATGTTTATTTTTTCTCTTTTCATATATATTTTGTTTAATCAATAAAAACATTATTTTTATGCTTATGTTTGTTTAATTTTTTCATCAAAATGTAACTTATCATTCAATTTTAGTAAAAATGAGTAGAAATTTTACTTCGTAAGGTTTAATTAGATATTTTTTATTTAAAAAAAAGTGATATATGTAACTCACTGTTTTCTTATTTATATTTTGGTTCTTGACAAAAAATTATTATTTATGTGTGTTTGGTTCATGTAACTTTTTATCAAAGCAAAAAAAAAAAAGAAGAAGATAAATGAAAAAGAATAATTGGATAAAAGAAATAGAAATATTAAAGAAGAGAGAGGTAGCTCCATAAATACATTAATAACTAATTTTTTTGTTTGTAAAAAAGTTGTCCAACTTGGTAAATTGTGGATCCTCCAAGTGCTTATGTGGCAAGAGATTACTTTTGAATGGTCATAATATATAGTATAGATAGATAGATAGATAGATAGATATAGATAGATAGATAGATAGATAGATAGATATAGATAGAAGATATAGATAGATAGATTACATAATTATTTAATATGTTACACTACTATCATAAGTACCGAGAATATGACAGATATTAATTTATTACACAAATATACTACTACTGAACAAACTTTTTTCTGTAATTGAGTAAGTTCCATTATGAATAATGTGTCGAATCAATTCTGTAAATCCGTTCAATTCTTATATGGTCTCAAACAAGGTTCGCGAGTTTAGTTTGAGAAATTTCACGGTACTATTTCGCAATTTGGATTCACACAAAGTCTGAACGATCCATCGCTCTCTATGCGCTATACAGTGGATGTTGGACAGAATGAAACTAGATATAATGATTTATAAGAATCGCTGGTATGGTTTCAATACAGAAATCTCATATTCGAAACATTCCTCAACGTACCCTAGGTCTCTTAATTATATGGTGTGTTGCTCTTCGTTTGTTAATGATCACATTTGGTGCAATAGTATAGAACCACATTTAGATATATGGAACGATTTGAAAGAAACTAAAATATTTGATGCTAACAATTAAGGACATGATCAGTTTAATCACATAACTACTAGACCGACAAAAGCTTTATTCTAACTTCTAATTATTTAATCAAACTAACATATGGAGAAGAGAACTTGACGGATTTTAGTGGATTACATTACAGTACAGGCATGAAATATATTAGCCCCCCGGCGGTCCGATCAAGGCTCACGCGAACGGCCGTTTGGTATAGAGACCCCTTGGAGCTGAGGTTGTCGGCTAGAGCCGCACTCACGATGAGCGTGTAGATCACCCCATTTTTGAACTGGTGGATGCTGCCACTATCAACGTCCACGAGTCTCAACGGATGTTTGAACTCGGTTTTGAAGTTGTGCATAAAAACTGCGTACTCCGCGACCATCCTGATACGAAAGTCGTTTGGATTCTTTATCGGCTACCACGTACCGGACGACGACGACGTTGCCCCCCTGGCGGTGGAGAGAACGACTGCGACGGTAGTTATAGCCACGAGGAACGTAATGGGCTTCATCGTCTCTTTGGTTGTTTGTAAAATGATTCTTAGTGAGTTTTTTTCTTTTTTTGTGGGAGATGTTTGCTTGGTGTTTTTTCGGATGTGAAGCTAGAGTAAATTGTGGTGTGTGTATTTATAGGCTACAGTGAACGATTTGATTCTCTACATCGTTTCTTCGTTTTCTAGGTTTTGTGGTAAAGTTGTCCGTTTTTAGAGTCACGTATCCCGTCGTTTTAGATGGTGGGACAGGTGGGTATATCTTTTTTTGCTACTTTTATGCTTAACTAGCCTATTGACTCTCCTCGTTTACCAATGATTTGTTATATGCATTCACTGGTTACACTTGACATGAATTGGATCATGACTACATAATCAAAAAGCCTACTAAAACTTCACTGTAAATTAAAACCACACCAACTCTAAACAAAAAAATCTAATGAGGAACACATTGCTCCCCCTTCACCTCCTTCTTCATGATATTCTTCAATGCCAGTAAAATGTGCTTACCAACCCTCCTTCCCTAGCCAGTTTCATTTCTGACCCAAACTTAACCCTGTCAATTTTCATTTCTAAATTACACTTTCAGAAACGCTCGTAACAATATTATTCTACATAAATGAACGAGATGCACAAATTCTTCCTTCACAATGCCACTTCACTCTGCTTCACTTATCCTATGCAACTTCACTTTTCCCTTTCCATTGCCCTTCTTTGTTGACCTGCCTGAGCCATTTCTTCATACTCTAATTGTCATAGAGTTGATAGTTATGTCAGTTAGGTTATTTGCTACGTTATTCCTAGTAGCGTGCAAGCACATTTTAGATTATACAACCTTCGGCTCGGTAAAACGGTAGAGTTTCTTCCAAGCACATTTTATCATAATGTGAAACATATCCAATGTAGGTTTATATTAGTTCATTGGACATTTCTTATCGAGGACTTTTGGCACGATCCGACCCTCACTCCTATTTCTATGTGTGTTGGCTTTGACAATGGAAAAAAATTAAACTCTCCACGGAACCAAATCTATATCTACCTAAGATACCTCAACTTTCGTACACTTTTTTCGTGTGATATTAGTATCTCAATACCTAAGCAGTAGGTGTGAACTCATCCTACCACATATGCATTACTCAGTCCTCAAAGAATCTCTTAATTCTTCAACCTCTTCTAGCTGTTTTTGGGTTTAGATAAGCTTCGGTCCGTTTTATATGAGTCTCAATTTTTTTTCACTGATTGTTGACCCCAAGATTATGGTGAATTTTCTCAACTCCACATGATCATTAGGTCAATTCTTTGTAGTGATGGCAATTTGAACACATCTGCGAGTATTACCCGACATGACCTGCGATGGGGCGGGTATTACCCGACCCACAGCAACCTGGGGCGAGGCATGGGTATCTACTTCCGCCTCGCCTTGTCCCGCCCCGCCCCGTTCTAGACCCAATTTTTCTAAATTTTTTAAGGTATCTATACATATTTCTCCAATTTTAACTTTTATTCAACTAGCTAGAGTCGATATTTCAACTTGTTAGAGTCAATTACCCATTTTATTATCAACATTTTTCTTTCATAAAATGTTTTTCCCTTTGGTTTATGATAAAAAGTAAAATTTGTGTATATATTTTCCAAATAACATGTAAAAATGGGTTGACCCGACCCGCGTGGGTTTTACCCGCCCCAACCCGTAGTAGCGTGGGACGGGGCATGAAAATTTAGTTACCCGTCCCGCCCCATTGTCATCGCTAATTCTCTAGAATTAATTTTTTGTTTCCTTCTACTAAAAAAAGTTTTTCCCGAATAAAAAAGATCTCTCTTTTTCAATTAGTTAAATGAAATATGAGATATTTATTAATTTTCTGCAATAGTTATTTTCTTCTTCTACCGGAATAATTGAGTTTCAAGGTAAGAATGTGGGTCGTGACAGTATTGCTGCTATAGCTATTGCCTATTAGCTCTCCCCTCTCCCCCAACGGCAGAAAACAGAATTATACTCACAGTCACAGAGAAGAGAGATCCGTTTTCTCTCTCTCTCACTCTGTATTTTTCTTTGCCTCTTTCCATGGCTACACGGCTTGTCCCTTTCACTGCCGCACTTCCTTCTTCTCCTTCCTTTCTTCTAATTGAAATAAACCCAGGAAAAACCCTGCTCAGAAAGTTAAATCCATTCTTATAGAAACTAATTCCACCCCAGTATTTTAATGGCGCGCTTTTGTTTTATTACATAAAAGCCCACCACCACATTTCCCCAAAATTTGCAGCTTTTCTTTCCCCCAGATTTGTTGTCATCTGGCTGGCAGCGCTTAAGTCCATTGGAACAGCAGCAAGACATCCTTCCTCCCCTACCTGCTTTCGACTGAGAAGCAAGCAGCAACGCAGCCAGGAAGGGAAGAAAGGGGGAAAACCAACAAAATCCCTCCCCTCCTCCCTCTTCCAACCCACTTCCATGGCTGCTGCAAGTATGATGCTTCCCATTAGCATCTGCATTCTCTTCCTCCGCTTCTTCTCTTCCTGTTCTCTCCTCGTCAATGCTGTCGATTCCCAGTTCTTCAATCTCACTCTCAAGCACCAGCACCCCTACCCAGATTCTATCGCTCAAGATGTGCAGAGGTAACTCCTGATTTCCCTCTCTTCTGGATTTGCATTATTGGAGGGTTTCGAGTTTGGTATTGTTCGAGCTAAGTAGTTTGCAGAGGTGGGGGGTTTTCGAGCTCCAAATCGATTCATGCTTGAATGTGTTCAGAAAAATGCAATCTTTTCGATGATTTCACCATTAATAGTCCTCTCATTCGGATTGGGAACCATTTTGATTCCAGGGATTGAGGGTATCAGATCGCATTTTCCTCACTCACTGTCCGCCATTGCTAAACAACTGTCAAAATCCCCATTTGGGTCCCTTCCCCCAAAGAAAAAAAAAAAAAAATTCGCAGCTTTAATTGCCAGCATTTCCTCCTTTCCCCTGTTCATTTCTCGTCTCGTCCCTTTCCTTCTCTACTACCCTCTTCTCCTTTTTTTTTTCCTTCTGGTTTCAAGTTTTAACCGCAGGCGTAGCTGTTTCCCACTTACATTGTCCATACTCAAGTTGCAACTTGCATTATTGCATCCCAAAATTCCTTTTTCCCCTCCCCTCTGTTTCCGTTTCCTTTTCAATAATTATTGGTAACTTTTTTTACAGGCAGGTCAATGAATCGCTATCGAGGAGGCTACTCTTGTCCACACAGGAAAAAGACCTCTGTCAAACGGGCAACCCGATCGACGACTGCTGGCGGTGCGACCCGAACTGGGCCCAAAACCGGCAGCGCCTGGCCGACTGCGGAATCGGGTTCGGCCGGGGAGCACTAGGCGGCCGCGGCGGCCAGATCTACGTCGTCACCGACTCCTCCGATCACGACCCGGCCAACCCGACCCCTGGAACCCTCCGGTACGGCGCGATCCAGGACGCGCCCCTCTGGATCGTCTTCGCCTCCGACATGACGATCAAGCTCAAGCACGAATTGATGTTCAACAGCTACAAGACCGTCGACGGCAGGGGAGCCAGCGTCCACATCACCGGCAACGGCTGCCTGACGCTCCAGTACGTGAGCCACGTCATCATACACAACATTCGGATCTTCAATTGCAAGCCGTCGGGCAACACCAACGTCGCGGCGTCCCCGACCCACGTCGGATACAGGGGGAGATCCGACGGCGACGGGATCTCGCTGTTCGGCGCGCAGAACGTCTGGATCGACCACTGCACGCTGTCGTCGTGCACCGACGGCCTGATCGACGCAATCATGGGGTCGACGGGGATCACGATCTCGAACAATTACTTCTCCCACCACAACGAGGTGATGCTGATGGGCCACGACGACAAGTACGCGCTGGATACAGGGATGCAGGTCACCATCGCGTTCAATCGGTTCGGCGAGGCGCTGGTGCAGCGGATGCCCCGGTGCCGGCGAGGGTACATACACGTCGTCAACAACGATTTCACTTACTGGCAGATGTATGCAATCGGCGGTAGCGCTAGTCCGACGATCAACAGCCAGGGGAATCGGTATATCGCCCCCGCCGATGCCGACGCAAAAGAGGTAAAAGGGATTTCTCGGCAATCCCTCTAGTTCTAAATTCTAATTAGGGTTTGGCGGTGGCGCGTGGGGGAAACTTTGGGTGTTGTCAGATGTGGGGCCGTGGAAGGGGGTAGAGTGGTAATTTCCGCTGATTAGTTAATTTTTTGTTTTGGGATTTGCAGGTGACGAAGCGCGTGGATACAAGCGAGGATTGGACAGACTGGAACTGGAGGACGGACGGGGACATAATGGTAAATGGAGCGTTCTTCGTACCGTCGGGAGCGGGGATGAGCGTTCAGTATGAAAAGGCTTCGAGTTTGGACCCGAAGTCGGCTGGGCTTGTGGACCAGCTCACCTTAAACGCCGGCGTACTAAGTGGGCCCAGGTAATTTTGCTCACTTGTTTTTTGTACTTTGGTCAATTAGGTCCCTATACTTTTACCGCTTTCGTTAATTCAGTCCATAGTTGTGTTTTCGATCGTTGGATTGGGATGTCTTCGCGTTCGATTTGGCGAATGAAGGTTCGAGTTAGCGCGGTTAGAGGGATTAAAGAGCAATTAAGCGAATGATGAAAGTTTAGGAACATAATAATGGATAGTGGTTAGATTGGCATGGTGCAGAAATAGGATGGCAGCATGTCTTGTATCATTATTCATTGTATTCATTAATTTGTTTGATGCTGAAAGGACAGATCTTTGGAACTTTTAGTATGCTAAGATCAGTTTTCTTAAAACAAAAAGCAAGGCAAGCTGAGCTCAGATAAGCTGTATGTTTTGTAGGAAAGATCGCAACTTTTTGGGTGCCAACAAAATTGAGGTGGGAAATGGAGGTGTAGTATATAGTTTTAGTAGTGAAATGATGGAAACATATATATATATATATATACTACTTGGTCTGTAGTTGGAGGGCTAATTAGGAAGGGTGATCCCTTCCATTTTGGGACCTACTGTCCTTCCTTCCCCAAAATTGGACCACATGTTGCCCTTACTTACAGTAACAGTTGGAATTTGGAACCAGCCAGCCCAGCCAGCTCTGGTTCAGTGGTTGCCTTTGATAATTCTGGTGTCATGTTGGTTTCACCCAGCCTGTTGTTCTTCTCCCTGTAGATTGATTCCCTATCTACCTGCCTTCTGACCACCACCACCACCACCTCCTTCAATAAACTACAATATTAAAAAGCAAAAAAATAAGAAGAGGGTATCATTTTGTTTCTTCTTCTGATTCTTGACAACTACCATCCACACCTTTGGAAACCTTCCTTTCTGTTAATACAGTATTGTTGTTAGGATTAAAAGATGGTTATGTCCTGCTAAATCAAAACTTTTTGAGCTCTAATCCCAATATAAGCAGCTAGATTACTCCTTTTCATTGATATCATCAAGCTTTTTCCTCCTTTCTTTTCCTTGTCTCTTGCATCCAGTGCACATGTTGCTGCCCTCCCTAGACTGATTCCATTCCATGCTTTCTCAACATCTCTTGGAATGGTTGGCTAAGTAGTCTTCCTGCCGAATACTTTAGTATCTTCCTTTTGCTCGTGTATTTGCATGTGGATTTGGGTCACATGGTCTTGGCTAAGTACCAGATAATAAGAAGTTAAGATAGATTCCAAATCAGGGTAAAAGAAAGAAATGGAGCTACCTACAAAAGTTTTGCTTTTTCTCTTTATGGTGTTCTTTAGAGGTGCATATGGATTTAGGAGATGTAAAGCTAGAGGAGAGTTGGAAAAATAGAGAGACCCACACCATCTATCTAGGTCTTGTACCAGTGGCATGTTGGTATAATGGGAAGGTGACTCAGTTTATATTCCTCCTCCCTTTTCCGCTTTCCAGCCATTGTACAAGCAAGTTGGTAGTGTAGTGTGTGTGTCCCCAGTTCCATGCTGTCCATCCAATTGTGGGGAAGGTGGGGCCTGGGTTTCTGATTTGAAGTTAACTTGACAGTAGTACCAAAAAGCTCCATTGCTGCAATATCAAACTTTCAGTAACTTAAGCAGCATGGTGAACTGAAAACTTTTCCCCAATATCTGCTGCTCATTCAGTTATTCTTTCACTTGAATGCTTTGGCTAGTTTTTTAGTGGGGAGTAGGAAAAGCAAAAGAAGCCATCTTTTTCCACTCTGGCAGCTGTGTATTCTTTTTCTGTTTGTTCACACTTTCTTAAAGTTCTATACCAAACAGATCTTATTCCTTATCCTGCCCAGTGTAAAGATCTTATCGCATTTTGCCGTATCTACTCGATCTGCTTATCTTTTTCCATGTTTAACCTTTTACCCTGCACGGTAACTTAAAATATATTCCCAGAACTTGATGTTCACAATGCAGTAAAAACAACATATGCATTGCATATAGTAGATCAGAAATGATTCTCCGTGTGTGGTGTCCAGCTGGAAGTTTCCATCATTTCCAATCCAACCTGTTTTAAAACTTTTAACAGTAGTGATACATTTCATATCATGGTTCTTCCATCTCTCCACATGGTCCACTGTCCTATGTGTTCCCATTTCCCACCGTCAAACCGACGGGGTATTTGCAACCATCTCTCACTGCACTAATCTAGGAGACACAACTCTTGGAATTGTGCACATCGGCCTGTGATACCCAACTCAAGAGTGAAAGTTTTTGTCTTTATTCCTGTAGCATGCTCGTAGTAACAATCCAACGATATCAGTATGCGTTAGAATCGTCCTTGTTCAAACTTATCGTACTTTTGTCAACTCTCCAGTTGTACTGTGGATGGTGGTGGGTAAATCTTACAGCTTTCATTGACCCATTACTAATTAGCACTGTAAAGTTTAACTCGTGATATCTGAAAATCTGGGGGGTTTTTCCCCGTTAATAATAATTATCACCAGCAGGATCATCGTGACAATTCAGCTTGTGAAGTCATTATCGATTGTGCTTTGTCGATTTAGGAGAATGTGGCATTATTGTTATGGTTGTTGATTTGGGAATATAACCAACCTGATGGATATGATTTATTTATTGGCATTGGCAGGAATACAGGGGAGGTGACGGCGAAACCAGGATTCAACGGCGGCGGCGGGCCCGGGACGACGACCTACACCGGGTCCCCCGGCGGCAAGAGCGGCGGCGACGGTGATGGGAATTTCTTTGGGATGATATTCGGGAGCGGGGCGGCGCCACCCACTAAGGCTGCCTCTGCCTCTGCCTCGTTGGTTTTGTCCCTTTCGATTATTTTAATTTTGTACACCGACTGTTGGGGGGATTCATTCTCCCCCTTCTTCCCATTGTTATAGAACGCACCGCAGTTTGGACAGCTAATGCGAGAGAAGAAAAAGAAAAAGAAAAAATACACGGAAGGAAACTAACAGGAAATTCATCACCTGGAATATGTACATATTCTACCTATATACAAAAACCAAGTCTCATCCCCGAAATTGCTTCAGGTGCTTCCCCATCAAAGCACGCTTAGAGGACAGAGGTGGCCAAACATACGGATTCATACAACTCTATATTTGGATTTTTGGTCCTCCATTTTGTTTTGTGTTTGATGCAATCCTACCTCAATCAGATTTGGTTTTGACCAAAGCTATCGATGTTCACCCCTAATCACGTTCATCCCTAAACAACCTCAGCTCCTTAACGAGCTGCATCGAAAGATTCATAGAGTACAACAAGCTGCAGCCGCCGTCGCAATGGAAACTAGAAGCAGCGGAGTCGTCGAAAGTTGCTACAGGAATGGATGACTTCAAGAATTACAACATTCTTCCCATGTGGTTTGGATTGGTTGGGATGAGTGGGGTGGGTTTCGGTGTGAGGCACATATTTGGATGAGAAAGGAGGGTTCATGGTGTTGGGGGTGTTTATCGAATCTTTTGGGTAGCTAGGTTGATGGGCTTGGACATGATGAGGAGGAGGATTGTAATCATTGGTTGAAGAGGTTTGAGAGAGTGATGAGATGCATTGGTAAAAAGCAAATTTTGTTGACTTGATATCGGAGGGGACGAGAAGAAATACTCGATAGTTTTCTCGATTTTTTCAGTGATAACAAAGATTTTAGAAAGAGAATTTTGCTTCAGGGTAAAGGGCATATTCATGTGATTGCGTGCACCGGCTCTGTATGTGGTTGCTCGGGGTGGGCACGTGGGTGGTTAATCCGCGGATTGATATCGATCTACCCGCAAATAACCCGACCCGCACGCAGTGGGTGTTTGATGTGGGTGGATTGGGGATTGGTAAATCTCCCACCCGTACTTATGTGGGTGGATTGCGGGTCACCCATATGACCCACATCCTATTTTTACATGAAAAATGTTGTTTCTTATAGTATCGAATATTCATCATATTTTTGCACTACAGTCTGACCATATACTTCAAAAAGTGAAGAATAAATAATAGTTTTGACTACTTTTATTGGTCATTGTGTTGTGCAATATCCATTAGATATTGGATATTGGTATGTAGATTATTGTTAATAAACATTAAATATTGGGACGCAAACTATAAATTATTAATTGTATCAAAATCACAAATCATTGATACAGTCTTACTAATTTTGCTATGAACTTATTATAAATGTTAGCCAACTTTCTTAATGCCTAGTTGGAGAATTGCTTTTGCGGGTTGACCCGCGACCCAACCGTACAAATCCGCCACCCACCCAACCCAACCCACAGAAGTATGTAGGTGGATTGCGGGTCACAATTATTTCAACCCGCTAGTAAGCGGGTGGGTAAATTTGAGACCAAAATCCACCCAACCCGCCCATTGCCCACCCCTAGTGGTTACATACATTTTCATGACCTTAGTGACGAGTTTATTGACACCGAACATACTTGGTATAAAAGTGCTCGAATGCTCTTTCTAGTTGAGCGGAATTGTTTTGGGAATAATCAAACAAGAAAGTTCGAGGAGGTGGGCCATCATTACAAGAATTGATTCCTAATCTTGGTTCAGAGCGATACCTTCAGGAGTTAAATCGAATGATATCGAGTTCGATGCACCGAAACAAGTCATAAAGAAGGATTGGTTTGAGAGGAAATGACTAAGTTTTTGGAGAAGGATGTAAAGAAGAAAAACTGGATGGAGAAAATACTTAATTTTAAAGAAGGTGACACCCAAGTGGTTGTCTTCGATAATCCTGTGTAAATTTAGGGAAAGGACTTCTAATTCATACATTTTGAAGTGATAGACGAGATTATACTTTACGAGCTAAAGATTGTGAATGAAGAAAGATAGTACATGGAGAGAATCTGGTCATAATTATCTTCTTGCAAATGGCAATATAATTCCATGTAAAAAAGTTATGGCGACAAACTGAACCAGAAAACGCTTTCAAATGTCATTTATGACATTAATTTGGAAGTTGGAACCGTATCTATCCACTAGGAAATGTCAAACTTAAAGTTTGATACCATAGTGAATGTGCCAACGTGGCATGAACATTAACAATCATTCTATAGTCATTATTTTCCTCGGTTGCGAGGTGGATCGTTATTCGCATTTTTATCGTTTTACCATCAAATGCGGTATACAAACGATGATTAAAATGATCATGAAATTATGGGACAAATCAATCCAAATCTTAGAAGCAACGGTAATAGGGTCAATGTGGTATGCACATTTTCAACCATTGTATAGGTATTATGCTTGTATAACATAACAGCTGGAAAGAAAATTTTAAAAAGTGATTTATTTATAATTATTTTGTTATGGGGTCTATTCCCATGATTTTTGTACATGGGACAGGCCAAAGATGGTGGCCCAATCTGAGGCCTGTTGATAGGGTAGAAGTGCGCCAAACTGCTTACAGAAAGAGAATTTTGTTTCAGTGTACGAGGCATATTCATGTGATTGCGGCTCCGAATTTGTATGTTGTAACAAACGTTTTCTTGGCCATTGTGATGAATTTGTTGACACCGAACTGACCAGATATAAAAGTGCTCGAATGATCGTTCTCGCCTAGTGGAATGTCAAGGGAATACTCAAATAAGCAAGTTCGAGGCTGAGTAGTAGCCATCGTTACAAGAATCAATCGAATCTTTGTTTGGGGTGATACCATCGGGAGTTGAATTGAATGATATTGAGTTAAATGCACCAAAGGAAACCATATCGAAGTATTGTTTTGGGAGGAAATTGCAAAGCTTTTGGAGAAAGATGTAAAGAAGTAAAAAGGGATGGAGAAAATACATAATTTTATAATGCTTTATATCGGAAAATCGTCAAACATCAAGGTAACAAAGCAGTTAATTTTTTTTATTGAAAGGGGGGTTTGAACAACCAGAATACATAAAAAGAACTCAGGAGCTTAAGGCCAACTAGTCGTGTCACTTCCAGTGATCGAATAGGGATAACAAAGTCTGTTAGAAAGACATACCGACAACGACACAAGAAAGCATAAAACTCTCCTTCCATCAGAGGCTTCTCTGAATCACCTGTCTAGGGAAGGTGACTCCTAAGATGTCGTCTTTGGTAATCATGTGTAAATCCGGGGTAAGGTCTTCTAATTCATACATTTCGAAGTGATAAACGAGATTATACTTCGGAACTAATGATTGTGAATTAAGAAATATAGTACATGGAGAGAATCTGGTCATAATTATTTCTTACAAATGGCAATATAATTCCATGTAAAAAAGTTATGGCGACAAACTGAACAAGAAAACGCCTTCAAATGTCATTTATGACATTAAATTTGGAAGTTGGAACCGTATCTATCCACTAAGAAATGTCTGATATGATCCCAAATGGTCCATTATACACATTTAATCTACTTGACGAAGAAGCTAATGAAGTTGGGAAGGAGGGCAGAATTTGGCTAAGTCAAAATCCGTGTTCAGGGTACATAGTTTGGAGGCATGGTTCTCTCAATTGTCTTGGTGGAAATTCAAGTTTAATAGTTTTTTTTGCAGATAAAGTTTTCATCTTTCCAATGGTATGCTTTTTATATCCAGAAGATGTCATTAAGGTTGTTTTCCAAAGTCTCAAAGTTGCTACCTCAAAATTGGAAAACTGCCAGAAAATGGCTAAGGCAGAAAACTGTTTTGTGAAGCCTACTTTGGAGCTCAATTCAAGGAGCATGGATGGGATTCATGTCAAAAGGATTCCACAACGTGAAACTAGGTATGTTTGTGAACAAAGGGAAGGAATTGGGTGAACAATTGGAGTTTGGGAAGGCCTTGTACAAAAGGCGTGAAGTTAGTACGAAAGCTTCCTTTTGACTCTTTTGATTGGTAAATCTCCCACCCGTACTTATGTGGGTGGATTGCGGGTCACCCATATGACCCGCATCCTATTTTTACATGAAAAATGTTGTTTCTTATAGTATCGAATATTCATCATATTTTTGCACTACAGTCTGACCATATACTTCAAAAAGTGAAGAATAAATAATAGTTTTGACTACTTTTTTTGGTCATTATGTTGTGCAATATCCATTAGATATTGGATATTGGTATGTAGATTATTGTTAATAAACATTAAATATTGAGACGCAAACTATAAATTATTAATTGTATCAAAATCACAAATCATTGATACAGTCTTACTAATTTTGCTATGAACTTATTATAAATGTTAGCCAACTTTCTTAATGCCTAGTTGGAGAATTGCTTTTGCGGGTTGACCCGCGACCCAACCGTACAAATCCGCCACCCACCCAACCCAACCCACAGAAGTATGTAGGTGGATTGCGGGTCACAATTATTTCAACCCGCTAGTAAGCGGGTGGGTAAATTTGAGACCAAAATCCACCCAACCCGCCCATTGCCCACCCCTAGTGGTTACATACATTTTCATGACCTTAGTGACGAGTTTATTGACACCGAACATACTTGGTATAAAAGTGCTCGAATGCTCTTTCTAGTTGAGCGGAATTGTTTTGGGAATAATCAAACAAGAAAGTTCGAGGAGGTGGGCCATCATTACAAGAATTGATTCCTAATCTTGGTTCAGAGCGATACCTTCAGGAGTTAAATCGAATGATATCGAGTTCGATGCACCGAAACAAGTCATAAAGAAGGATTGGTTTGAGAGGAAATGACTAAGTTTTTGGAGAAGGATGTAAAGAAGAAAAACTGGATGGAGAAAATACTTAATTTCATAGTGCTTTATATAGGAAAATCGAAAAATATTAAGGTAACAAAGCAATTACTTTTTTTTTAATTGAAAAGAGAGTAAGAACAACCAAAATACATCAAAGACTAAGGAGCATAAGGCCAACTGGTCGTATCGCTTCCAGAGGTCGAGCAGGGACAACAAAAGCTGCTAGAAAGCCATATCGACAATGACACGAGTAGAAAATAAAACTCTCCTGTCATCAAGGGCTTCTCTAAATCACCTGTCTGGGGAAGCTGACTCCCAAGATATCTTCTCCGATGATCCTTCGTAACTCCGTGGGAGGGTCTTCTAATTCATACATTTCGAATGGATAGACATACGTTTTCTTACAAATGGTGAAAGATAGTGCATGGAGAGAATCTAGTCATAATTATTTTCTTACAAATGGCAGTATAACTTCAAGCAACAAAGTTATGGAGACAAACTTAACAAGAAATGCCTTCA